GTGAGTACATATTTATACAGAAGAAATCTTTAATGAGGGAGATACATGTAGGCATACCTGTGTGAGTACATATTTATACAGAAGAAATCTTTAATGAGGGAGATACATGTAGGCATACCTGTGTGAGTACATATTTATACAGAAGAAATCTTTAATGAGGGAGATACATGTAGGCATACCTGTGTGAGTACATATTCATACAGAAGAAATCTTTAATGAGGGAGATACATGTAGGCATACCTGTGTGAGTACATATTCATACAGAAGAAATCTTTAATGAGGGAGATACATGTAGGCATACCTGTGTGAGTACATATTCATACAGAATAAATCTTTAATGAGGGAGATACATGTAGGCATACCTGTGTGAGTACATATTCATACAGAAGAAATCTTTAATGAGGGAGATACATGTAGGCATACCTGTGTGAGTACATATTCATACAGAAGAAATCTTTAATGAGGGAGATACATGTAGGCATACCTGTGTGAGTACATATTCATACAGAATAAATCTTTAATGAGGGAGATACATGTAGGCATACCTGTGTGAGTACATATTCATACAGAAGAAATCTTTAATGAGGGAGATACATGTAGGCATACCTGTGTGAGTACATATTCATACAGAATAAATCTTTAATGAGGGAGATACATGTAGGCATACCTGTGTGAGTACATATTCATACAGAAGAAATCTTTAATGAGGGAGATACATGTAGGCATACCTGTGTGAGTACATATTCATACAGAAGAACTCTTTAATGGGGGAGATACATGTAGGCATACATGCTGTGAAATCTACGATGACTGTATTGTGACGAAATGATCCGTGAGCTTGGAGGGATTTAAACCCACGCCCAATACATTGTGACACGATGGTGGCAGTAGGCTTAATAGCCCTTTAAAACACTGTCCCATTCGTTTGCTTTGAAAATTGTTTCCTGCCTTTAGCATATTAATGCCATTGTTTCAATGAAGTTAGTGTATCGGTATCTCATGTAATGCTAGAGTTGTATTTATGTCTGACGCTACTGCCCGCTAGGTAGCGCACCATGCATGCGTTCTGCGACAATCCGTGTTCTAACAAGTATTCCAAGTTAAGATCTACATATCTCCCCTTTTTGAATAATGACTATAAATATGAAATGTTAATGATCAATATCATCAACTCACAAAATAAACATGTTATCTTTTCAGTGGCTACTTATATAAAGCATGTTTGTTTTTTTCTATCAGATCCAAGAAGACGTAATTTCTGTATATGCACGTGACATCATATTATGAGTTAGTATCAATTGTACTTTAGGCCATATGACCACAATACTGAATAAACCTGTCTGTCTGCCCTTAAAACACTGTTTCATTCGTCTGCTTTGAAAATTGTATACTTCCTCTAGCATATTAATGCCAGTGTTTAGTTTACAGGTATCTCATGTAATGCCAGAGTTATACTTATGTCTGCCGCTAGGTGGCGCACCATGTAAGCATTTTGCGACAATCCGTGTTCTAAATATACGGCGTCTATAGATATGCATTGTAACGTCGTGCAGAGTTCTAAAAGTGGCAATGACGTAAACTATGACGACTTTGTGGTGAAGACAGGTGCTGAAATTGGATCAATGTCATCATGACTGATCAAAGGCTAGGATGTATTTTATTATCTCCCTTTATCAGACCTGTCAATCACGTGTCGGTGTTTATTGCAAGAAGACATAATTGAGCTACATGTCGCCATTGATATCAAATCTCATCAGATTATCTCTCTACAGCCTGACGTATATAGACGAGCATTATACGCTGGTCAATGCAGACGCAGTTGATGTGGATGTTGTTTGTTTTTTATACCTGAAATATATACCTTTTTATATATGAAAATATCAACCACCGAAACTGAAATACTGAAAACTGAAACGACTACGGCGTGTTAACTTGATGTGGGAGGACATCCCGAAGTGGTGCCTGTGTTAAGATGTTTACTACTGTGGTGACATCCACGGGCACAGGTGTGGTGCTTACAAAACCTAGAAACGTAATCACGACGAACTAGGATCCGAATACACGATCATAGGTTTCCGACTAAGGGACGCAACTCTGCACCGTGAATTGGTGATCAGTCAGAGTGAGTGAGTGAGTTGGGTTCAACGCCACTTTAAACAGTATTCAAGTTATATCGCGGCGTGTCAGCTTAAAATGGGAGGTCTCAGACGTTTACCACTTCGGTGAAACCCACGAGCACAGGTATGGTGCTGACAAACCTAGAAACATAATCGGGGCGAACCGGGATTCGAACCCACAATCATAGGTTTCTGGCGTGCCCAAGGGACGCAACTCTGCACTGCGAATCGCGGCGCCTTAGACGACTTGGCCACCCGTGCCCCCGATGATCAGTCAGAAGACATACAGCATCAGATATATAGGATTAACGTCGTCAAAGTGTGCCTGATACACTTGTTTTTGTGCCTCTCTGAAATTGAGCTGACATGTTGTAATATGACTGAACTATGGTTCAAAGTGGCGTTAACACTTCCGAGACTCACTAACTCAAGTGAAAACAAATACATGCTGGAATCAAGAATCTGGAGACATTCTGATAACGTGGCTTACGACACTGTACGAGTTTTTTCATCAGGTATACAACATTCAAGGCCCCAGTTAAGCTTTTAAACGTTCTATGGTAGATATTGACGCATCAGTAACAAAAATATGTCCCATGCAATTCTCTTTTTTGACTTGTACCCTGTGTTCCTGTGTTTGTTCAGGTGAACAATTGACTTGCCTCTTGTGTGGCAGGGTACGTTCACCTTTCGCGAACACCTGGTATCATCACTATTTGCTTATGGTATAGTTGGAATCGTATGATTTCTTGTAGTCATGGAAATAAGTTTGTCGTTTGTATTGACTAGGATACGAAATACGTTATTGGTTCCTGGACAAGGCGGACAATGTACGAGAAAAGTGCAAAACACCTAGCAGTAGAGATATATACACTACAACTCAAAAATTCTTTTACTTTATTTCCGCAGGAATTTTGTAAAACTTTGGCCTAGTTAGGCGGGGACTCTCTAGACTGTTTGTCAAATTTCCAGGGAGCTGCTGCGGATTATCAGCGAAACTAATTTCTCCTTGGTGTCAACATTTCACAACTCACAAGGTTCTAAGACAATATTCAAGGCATGGGTATAGATTTCAAAAGGTTTCATGGTAGACATGTGGAGGACATTCCCAAATTTGACGCATCAGTGACAAGAATGTTATCCGATGCAATTCCCTATTTTGACTTGTTTCCGTGATATTTTTCATGTGAACAGTTGACTTGCCTTTGCAGTTGTTTGTGATGGGTGCTACCGGTGAGGCAGAATAGGCTCGCCTTTTCGCGAACGCCTGGTATCATCACTATTTGATATTGATTCATACACACGTGCTAATGACAGTACAGTCGACTCTGGGCTTTGTGCAGATATTTCTTATGAATATGGATTTTTGTTCTGTCGCTTTTATTTCATTGAACTCCGATGTGGAGTTGAAAGGCAAATTAGACGCGTAGGAGGCAGAGATTGTATGTAATGTACCTCTTGCAAAATTAAATTGATACTGAGATCATATGACCGTATAACTGACATTTATTTATCATATTGAAATACGACATGGCTTGTGAAAAGTGACACGGCAATTCATGCCTGTAGTTTATTATATACAGTAAACTACGGTTATAACGAACTCAAAGGGACCACTAATTTTAGTTCGTTGTAGCCGTGGTTCGTTATATGCATATATACAGCATAACTACAACAAATAGTCGGGACAAAAAAGTAAGTTCGTTATATCCGTCAGTTCGTTATAAGCGTGTTCGTTATAACCGTAGTTTACTGTATACTAATATACCAGCTGACTGTTAACGAACAAAATGGCACGATGCGAATGTACGAATGAAATGAATGTACGAATAAGTCAAAGTTTGCACCTTTAGCCGGAGACACGATCATAGCATAAACCCGAGCTGGACAAAGTTGCGTCCCTTGCCAGAAATCGATGACCGTGGATGGGAGTCCCAGCGTAAACCTGACTATGTTTCTACATTAATTTTATAAGCCACTTATGTGAGTGTGGACATAAGACTAATTCACGCACATTCAGTGCCATTTACAACTGCAAACATGGCTGTCGTCACTATGATGCCACCTACAGGAAACATATAATGACATTGCCCCTTAGAACATACACAAATTAGAAGAGCTAGTCCAACCGAAGTTATTACAGTGTGTAGATTACAGAAATCGATGACCGTGGATGGGAGTCCCAGCGTCAACCTGACTATGTTTCTACATTAATTTTATAAGCCACATACCCGAACCAACAGGTTTCACCAAAGGGATGAACATCTAAAACCTATATCACAGCTCAAAGCGGCGGAAAAGCAAACTCACTCAATCTCCTTGTTGGTTTTTCACTTTGTTGCTGTGTGATGTTGGAAGTGTTTTAAGTGATTTAAACCTTGTTGCTACAAGTTACCCTCTGTAGCCATGGATACCATCTTGAATAACATAATACAAAGGGGCCTTTGGAAGTAACAAGGTCATGTTTATTTAATGACATGAACTTTAAACATGACTAACATTCCCTCTGGACAGTGAGTGTGGATATAAGACTAGTTCACGCACATTCAGTGCCATTTACAACTGCAAACATGGCTGTCGTCACTATGATGCCACCTACAGGAAACATATAATGACATTGCCCCTTACAATATACACAAAATAGAAGGGCTAGTCCAACCGAAGTTATCTCCCCTTATTGTAGATTACACTAAAACACCCCCAAGGAATTATCTACCTTGGACCAGGTTTAAAAACAAATAATGGGATTTATTTCCCCCAAAGTCGAATAACTGGCAAACAGGTTAAGTTGATTGTTTAGGCTGTCATTTGAGTTAGTACAGTAAATAGTTCAGGTGGGCTCTTTTTTCTGTTTCATGTAAGTAATGCGTTATATACATTCAGGACAAATACATCCTCTCTTCCATGGTGTATCTTTGCCTGGTGTGTGTGTGGCACTCTGTGATTGGTCGGCTACATGACACCGGGCACGATGATTGGGCAAAGGACTATGACTGGAAAGCTCTCTTGTGCTTCGTGTGCACCTACGTTTCCTTCCACTTAGGATTCTCTGCATGGATATATAAATATGTAAGTATTCAGATTTCAAATTTCTTATGTGTTCCTTCGTTTAACAATAGTTAGGGGATTCCTGTTTGTAATAATATGAAATGATGGACGCATGCTTCGTTTTGTTGGACCTTGTAGTGAACAATGTATACTCAACAACAAAAGTTCCTGTGACACCAATATTTAGTGTATTTTTCAAACAAGCAAAGTTTGGTTTTCAATATTGTAGTACATATATGGAATCAAGTCATAAAAAACGCAACTGCTACAGAAAAGCATGCATTCACGGAACACATATGTATACAATCCTTACAATAACTCTCCAACTACGGGCTCGACCAAGAAGGACTTTAACCTTGCTCACTGAACTGTGTTCGCAGAGGTGACAGAGGTTATTTATTTATTTCGCGTTGTTGGTTAAGTAAAATATGACACATTGTCGAGGACTTCTTCTTCATAAATTGTTTTCAAATTCTAAACCGCAAGCAAACACAACACTATTTCTGAACAGTGAACGAGTACCCATTTCATAAAAAAATCATGAATAAAAGAAGAAAATGTTAAAAAGGTTTAAAAGTCACTGCAAAACGCATGAATGTACTGGTCTTCTACATAATATCATTTTTGCCCGATTCAGACACGCAGTCTACACAAGTGCCCTCTGAATTGAATCGTAACAGAATATGATGTTAGGGCCTAAAAGTGAATCAAGAGAGATCGTGTTCACTTGTTCAAGAACTGTCTCTTAAGTTTGGCATGATCTGATTCTGACTCGGGTATTCAATTAAATATTGTTCAACCGGCCGAGGACTTTTCCAGAGTCGCCATCCTTTGAACAAAACGTCTTGTAAACGTAGATTGTATAGATCACTCCCCACTGTCAAGTTGCTGTCACATAAAGGTGTTGTGAGTTATTATACAACTTTGAGTAGAAGAAAGATTTATTCCCTGAAAGAAATTTGATATTTTCCAATACCTCGAGGATCAAGCAAAATCCTTAGCCATCGATCATGCTCAACCATGGTCTATCGAAAATGGGGATGAAAAAAGGCTTATGCCACCGCTATGTGTTGAAAACATCTGATACTTGTTTGTCTTCACGCATTTGTTTATCTTGTCGCTCGAATTCCATTCTATTTAAGTTATTAGTTTGGCAACCACAATTAAAAAATACCCACACTACATGTGCCTTAAAACACACTGTGTTTATTATATGTTTGAGATTTGTATCGCTGCAGAACACTTATCAGTATGATTTAATATCAAATGTAGAATCCTATTAAAACGGATTGAAACACAGAACTTGGACTCTTTCAAGAAAATGTCAGCAAGGACCATCAGGGAATAAATATATTAACCTTAAAATACGTTATAATAATTTATATAATTCCGTGAAGACGATAAACCACTTAAAAACAAAATATATGTACAAATTAACCAAGACGCTTTATATTATTACTAGTTTTATATATCATGTTCACATATTATAAACAACGTCCTTCCTAACCCGCAGCTAAACGTTTCTTCAGAATATCATTATTGTTAATACCATTTGAAGAAACATTGTTATTTTCAATTCGTGCTTTATTTATTTCAATCTACAAACAATTCTTTATCTCAAAAAGGTATTTCCGACCCCAGTGTTTGAAACACCACCGTAAAACCAGAAAAACAATACCTCAATAATATGTCGTGTTGGTTACAGGCATGGCGCCGACGTCGTCTCATGGAGAAGAAGGACGAGGCCTACAGGGTGAGTCCATGTCTTGGTGGGGGTAACCTTGTGTATTCCAAGCTGGGTCTGGCTGTCCATGTTCTCTACAATGGGGATAAGAAATCTTTAAGATTAATAGTTTTTCGCCTTCATGTATACCCTTGTGTATCAGCTACGGCCTGGCTTACCGCATTGCTTATCTGCATATAGGCTACAATGTATTACTAATTGACGCTGGCAGTACTGTTGCGACCAGAGGCGGGATAACCGCCACCGAAAATTCTACGTGTCGCATGCAACTACGTTTTTAATCCACAGACAGTTAATAAGAGCAAAGGAGGACAGTTGCGTTCTGTGCCATCTTAGAATGAGCAAAAACAGCAGTACAAACTTTGAATATTACACCATCTTTGTAAATAGATGATGTAAAACGCATCCAGATACATTCGACTGTACAATATTGGAATATTACATGCTCTGTGGATAGGTATCATGCATAGTACTCCGGACTGACTGACTGAATATAACATCCTCATTGTATTTCCAAAACGAATAACACACTATAATGAATGGAAAGGCTCGAGACCCACTTCGAATGTCCACTATTGGAATTGCAAACGAACAATATCATGGAATAATGTATGTACCAGCTTATTTACCTGTACAGTAAACTGACTATGTCATGTCTCTTAACGATAGTTAACGTTGCATGCGATTCGATGTTCTGCATCAGTTCCAGTAAAACGTATTTTAAAGTTTGAAAAGCTAACAATGTTTTCAGTAGAACTGATATAGTTTGGCCTTACATTATTGAGAATGAGAACATTGCAAAAAATAAATTTAATAAGTCATAGACCAAGGGATACGTTTGTCCAACAAACACTGCTCACCTCAAGCTACAAAACAACAGACCGTTCAATATTTTGTCAGACCACCTCTTTTCCTAATACATGTTTCAATGCGGCGAGGCATAGTGTCTATCAAGGTAGTTAGAAAATCATAGTCATACTGTCCCAATATCTCACCACCTCTGCTTTCATTTCACATATACTTTTGAGATTTTTTGTTTGTTATTGTACGTCATGATTTCCCAAATATTTTCAATTGGGTCAGGTCCGGACTTTAGCTGGGCCATTCCAGGAGTGTAACATTTTGCTCGTTAAACCATTCCCGAGAATGCTTCGATCTATGTTTTGGATCATTGTCTTCCTGGAATACCCATCCGTCACCATACAAAACTTATGCTGTTGGAAAGAGATGTTGGCAAGAGATCAGTGTTCACTGCACTGATCATGTTACCTACAAAAACACATAATGGTGTGGCACCCAACACAGACACTCAACCGCACACATGAATTTGAACACTGGAGAATTGGTTTTTTCTGAACCTTTGGTCCACATATTTAGGCAATTTGGATAAAGACACGCTGATCGCAGAACATGACCTTTCCAAGATTAAAAACAATTCTATGCTCCAAACACTGGTTCAAGCGTCATTCTTGATGTTCAAGGTGATGGAATTCCTCGTGATTTCTGCCAAACCATTGCATGCAAATGCGTTTTTATTGTCTATGTAGAAAAACATGAACCGTTCATATATTAATATTTTTTATGTCTCATGTCTTCCGTGCTCATACGTCTGTTTTCTGTCACCAACAGTAATGTCTTTGTCCTACCCGCTCCCTTTTTGTGCTAAATTCCATCTCCCCTCACAATAGTGAGTGAGTGAGTTCGGTTGAACGCCTTTTAACATTATTCCAGTTATATCACGGCGTGTCAGCTTAATGTGGGAGGAAAGCCCGCAGTGATGCAGGTCTCGGACGTTTACCACTACGGTGAAACCCACGAGCGCGGGTATGGTGCTGACAAACCTAGAAACATAATCGGCGCGAACCCAGGATTCTAACCCACAATGGTAGGTTATCAGCGTACAGCGAATCACGGCGCCTTAGACGACTGGGCGGAGATATCTTACGGTTTTGTCTTTTTTATACACGTGCAAAACTCGGGGCTTCGGTAACAAGGAAATGAGACGGGAAAGAAGGGCGTTCGTGGCAGATGCTTTGTTGCGCTTGTCTGAAAGGTTCAGATAGTCGTGGTGAGTAATTTTCTTGCAATACGTAGAATTATCTCAGTAATCGCTGTCACTGGGTATTTTAGGGGTCAGTGTGCCGTTGGATATTTGAAGTTAACATGTCTCGTTTTCATTTCCAACCTTTAACCTCTGATTGAAACACTAGAATTTGAAGGTAATGCTGTCACTGTCAGTTCATTGATCACCTTTCAATACATGGGAAACGAATATGCTATATGACATGCTTACATTTTAGTGCTCCGGATTTTAATATGATGGACGCGCGTCTTATTCAACCTGCATAAATTTCTGCGATTACATCTTGTATCCTTCAGGTCCCAAAAGCGGAGCCTGATCCGTCAACTGCTGCTGTGTTTGGGAGTGAACCAGTACAGAATGCGGTCCAATTGTCGTGGCTGATATTAGTTTTAACTGATTGCATTGTATGGCTCAATATAAATCTGGTCAAACCCGTGCATTTTTCACAAAAGTCAATTTGTCTTCTATTTGCGAGGTTTTCCTTAAATATAGTACGATTTTCCTTGTTTTAGCAAATACTTCCTGAACAGTGGCATTGACCCACTATAGGTCTATAACACGGCTTCATGTGTCAATAATGTGAGATCGATAAACCAGTGATATGGACTACACGATTCAAAATTCAGTCTTCAAACTGGTTACACGAGGCAAGTTAGTGTGGTGTGATTGACCAATCTGATTCGCGCATTCTAGTTATTTTAGAATTTGATCGAATATATTACACGTGTTACACTTGATGTTGTAGTGAGTGAGTGAGTGAGTGACTGAGTTGGGTTTAACGCTTGGCGTGTCAGTTAAATGTGGGAGGAAAGCCCGAAGTGATACATGATACCATAGGTTTCTGGCGTTCCCAAGGGACGCAAATCTGCACAGCGAATTTAATTCACTTTCCTGGCTTTTTTGTCGCAAGAAAAAAATTATGACTTGGTTATCTCCCTTTGTATGCTCCAGTCGCTTCAAAACCTTACTGTCTGCATACATAGCCGGGTCTGTTGTATGAATTACATTTCAAAGTTCCTGTGTGCATGAGGGTGGTTTAGCATCTTTCACGAATCAACACGATAAATGTTTATGATGATTGTCCATGATGTACAAAGAAAAAATCCGATGTACATATGCACTAACATGTTCGTTAATCTTGTCCGTCTGGGATTAACTAGTATCACTGGCATAATATATTTATTATTGTGATGGGTATCACACACGTGTCTTCGTGAGCAATATTGTAACGATATAAAGTTCAACATATGTCGGAATGTAATGTAAGACATTTCTTGGTTTTACTTTATAGAACGTTCGCCAAAACGCACCCTGTGTTTTGAGATCTGGTCGCGTGAACGCACCATCGTGTAAGTTGTGATAGCAAGGGAAAGGTGAGACTTTCGCAAACGATTAGAGGCCAGTTATTTAGCTTTGCACTGTCGTAGGAGATAGATGACCCGTTTCAAATAGTCAACTATTTATTTGCGTTATAGTATAGGCTCTTTGGTTCTCATAATCCATCCTCTTTTTTCAATCTTCTTCTTTCTTAACCTTTAGCATAATTATACATAAGTTAATCACTTTCAGTTCCTTGGGAATAGTCCCAAGTTTTTCCCATAATAAATTGGTTTAGTTTTTGAAGTTCCCCTTAGACCAACTCTGCAAATACTTAGATCCACTGCGAAACATTACACTCACAAACGTATGAGAGTTATTGTTGATCATTAGCCCATAATAAACTTCAGTATAGTCGAACTTCCCAATGACAGCCTGTAGAACAGCGCGCCACTTTTGTTGAGGAGCCAGGAACAACTCGCTCAATGTCTGTGGTTTGATGGGATGTCCCTAATGCGACGTCTAATAGCATCGCTAAGATGTTCAATGGGACTAATGTCTGGACACTTGGTGGACCAGGGGAGGACTTTGACGTTGCCGAATTTGAGAAAGTCAGGTGACACATGTACACATGTGAACGAGCATTGTGATACATTGTTATACAACCACTGTCTGTAACACATCACATTAGCGACTACCTAGAGTGAGTGAGTGAGTTTGATTTGACGCCGCTTTTAGCAATATTCCAGCAATATCACGGCGGGGGCCACCAGAAATGGGCTTCACATATTGTACCCATGTCGGGAATCGAGCCCGGGTCTTCGGCGTGACGAGCGAACGCTTTAACCACTAGGCTACCTATCTCACCCATATTGACACATCGCGGAGGGGATAGTGTGTGTGTGTGTGTGTGTGTGTGTGTGTGTGTGTGTGTGTGTATTGGGGGCAGTCGTCTAAGGCGCAACACATGCCTGAAACCTATGATTGTGGGTTCGAATCCCGGTTCGCCCCGATTACATGTATGTCTGAAGGTTTGTCAGCACCAAACCCGTTCACCAAAGAAGTAAGCTTCTGAGACCTGCATCGCTTCGTGTTTTCCTTCTATATTAAGCTGACAAGCCGTGATATAACTGGAATATCGTTCAAAGGGGCGTTCACCAAACTCATGCCAGTAAGGTTGGCTTCTTGTACGACGATACGTTTCTGTACCATTATTAAATTCCATCAGTCGAAGTACTTCTCCGAATCGTTTCTTGCTCATATTGTGTCTAACCTTTAATCTTTGCAAACAAATGGACCCTGAAAGCAACTGAAATTGCTGTCTTGTTCGATCAATGAGTAGGCCAGTGATTGTACATTTAGAAAACTTATCTTTAATTGATTCACGAAACTTGCTAATTGATCCTTATATGTAATCATAACGGTGCACTTCTATTCACGTCTGTGAAGCATCTTGTAAATACTGACCATTGTGACTGCCCCGTTATGACACCACACACGCCCGTGCCAGTTACAGGTAAGGTGCTCATATCCCCGTCAACATTTGCAGTCCGACCCACTGCCAATTAGTAGTACAAGTGCACAAATAAATACTCCTGCTGAAACGCACTACGAAAGTTTGTAATCTCGTTAAAATACACCTGGGTACTATCACACGCCGGTAGACATGCAGTCAGCAAATAACGGTTCTAGCTACAAAGGTATATATACAGAGGCGAAAAAATCCTGAAGAGTTTTATACAAACTTGGAATATGAGAATATTCCAAGATTGTACAGGAAAAATCGCAACGTTTTTGTTATCCCAAGATTTCACGTTACACCTACCCATTGAAAAAGTTAATTTTTGCTGCCGTCCATTCTGAAGTTTACGCTTAAATATGTAGCCATATAGTCATCATTCAGTGGATTTGAAGGTGAAAATCTGCGAAACATATACTGAAGTCAATAGTTTGTGTTTGGAATTGCCTTCTGACTATGGTTACATTGTAGAGGTAATTTATGAAGTGGTCCAGTGGTGTAAATCGCCCCAATTCGCTGTGCAGAGTTGCTTCCCTCAGCCGTGTTTGGATCCGCAGATTATAGGTTCGAATTCTACATTCGCCCTGATTATGATCCTCGTAACAGCTTTATCCGCACCATTCCCGTGAGCATGGGTGCTGTCAAGGTAATAAACGTTCACCCCTCTGATGAAGCCCACGAGTACGGAAATAAATCATGGCGAACTAGGATTCGAACCCAAGATCAAACATAGGTCCCTGACACACATAAGGGATGCACAGCGAATTGCGGCGTCTTAGATGACTGGGCCAGCAGTGCCTCAGGTAGTCCCAAAGTATGTTAGTATAAATGTAAATAAAATTTAATCATATATTCCTTTTGTGTGTTGCAACAGGAGAAGGTGAAACTCATCCGCCGAGAGGACACAGCAACTCTCTTAAAGCGACGTAGAATGAGCGCCTGGAGCCCAGCCGTTACTATGAAGAACCACCTTCAGCCCACGTGACAAACCGCCACCTTGTACAGAAAGGGAGATAACCCTGGCTACAGTGACTACATTGAGACCAACATTGATGACATTGTTTAAGAGTCAAAATGATTATGATTATGATTATGCATTTGACAACTGACAACAGCAAACTGTGATCCCTGATTATGCATTCCAGTAGGAACACAACCCTGCACCTTTCTTGTTCTCTTCACCAAATGTCTCACGCAGGCTTTTGGTGTACATGATGTATTTGATACTCCACATGGTGATGACACAACACGACCAAATATGGCGATGATGAGAAAACAGATACCTTGGAGTTTCTTCGAATCTTATCTGAATTCTTATTTCATTCATGATGTTAACGAGTGAAGAAGCACATATTGTCTGTTTGAAGTAAGGTTTTCAAAGTAACATGATACACGTTTTGATGTTGTTTCTGAAACACGTTCTTAACCCGAGAGGGACCAGCTCTTAAGAAACATGACTTTTTGTGGACCATGTTGTATAATCTGCCTCACCTTCAGAACCAGAAAATATGCTGATAACCAAGCATATGCTTTATAAGTGTGTATACTCTTCAGATACCAATGCCTCGAGCTTATATCAGGTGTATAATATATGTTCCAGGTTTACCATTGTTCTGGCAACATAATGTGTATTATATATGTTACTCTGTGTTATGTTAACCTATGGCTGTTATGTTGACTTTGGCTTGGTACACAGCTTTAGGTGTTGTTGTAAATATGTACGTTTGTCATGAATTTAACCTCTTAAAGATATGAAATCACATCCCTTTGGGATATAAACCATGCACATAATGCTGCACAGATGAACGATTCATGCGTTTCAAAGTTGAACTTGAGTGTGAATAAATGCATGCACGTGTTTTGTAGTGTTTTTTAAGGTGTATGCACGTGAACCATGGTAAGGCATGGGTAGAACAATACCCAACGCCTGCAGAAAGAACCGATCACTAAGGATCTTGAAATGACACTGGGTGACCTGGTCTGTACGTGTCGTCCTGCACGACACTGCTGAAGAGAAGATAAGGTTGTTTCCGCTTTTCCGCAGGTAACTCTCACGACTGAAGCCAGGTTGGGGCTTGGAACGGTCATTATTACACGTGCAGATTTTGACACTATGTTCTTGTTGAAGAGATCGGACGCACAACACGATGCAACGACAAACTGATACAGACTATATTCATCAGAACTACACATAGAATGATAAAGTCACACACGCGCGCACGCACACGCACAACCACCCACCCACACATTGTAGTCAGGATTTACACAGGTGATGCAGAATAGGTCCCAAAGAGAGAGAGAGAGAGAGAGAGAGAGAGAGAGAGAGAGAGAGATTGTTTAGTGCACTCTCACCCTATACATATAAAAATAAACATAATAATACAATAACATAACATGCACAGATCGCCCAAGGGTTATGTGAGACTCAATCAACTTATGCATCTTAATAAAATAACATAAAATTTAACATATTACATACATGTATGGACAAACATTTGATTTAAGTATAACAACATTACACACATACCTACAATGTACATACGCACATGAATGCACAATACACGCGCATTCCAATACATATACTTATATACCAATCATGCATAAAGATGTAATTTATATTCACACACACAAATACGTGAACATAGACATACATACACACACCTAACAAACAGACAGACCACCGCTATATATAATTCCGTATGTTCACTTTGTAGTTACTCTTCGTGTTCTAACATAATCAAGTGAAAGTAATCGAACTTTTCCGAAAACGCGTTGTTGAATAAGACAAATTGGTAATGACAAGTAAACCGCATAGCATTCATAACATTATTCAACCTATAGTCAGCCCCCGGGAAAGATCAACTTCCCTTTTAATGCTGAACGTGACGTGCATGACACCATCTTTGGTTTTCTATGCTTTACCCAGTCGAAATATTATCGAGAAAGAGGACGCCGACGTCAAATCAGGCGTCAATATACGTTATTGATTGTCTGAGCATTCGGGGTGGTGGGGTAGCCTTATGGTTAAAGCGTTCGTTCGTCACACATTGACACGGGTACATATGTGAAGCCCATTTCTGGTGTCCCCGCCGTGATATTGCTGGCAAAATGCTAAAAGCGGCGTAAAACCATTCTCACTCACTGGGCATCATATGCCTCTGTTCATGTTTACGGATGCTTTTTCATCATTATTTGTCCACGAAGTGCAACGAGTAATACGACCAGGGCTCAGGAATGTACACCAACCCTGGGTACTTCTGTCTGAGGACAGGATCGCTCCACAGATACGCCACCCACAGCACTATCAGCACAAAGGTCACGTTGAACGTATGGATGAGGAACAAGCCGTTGACGTCGAGTCTCTCTCCCCGCCTTGCTTTGATGGCACAGCTCACCAGCATACACCCCAGTGTTAAAACGTAAACACTGAAGATTTGTCCCTCTGTTACCAAATACCTGAAATAAGATATCCACAGTTAACTGTCCACTTGTTTGGGACGACAAAATGAGTGAGTGAGTGAGTTGGGTTTAACGCCGATTTTAACAGTATTCCAGTTATATCGCGGCGTGTCAGCTGAATGTGGGAGGAAAGACCGAATTGATGTAGGTCTCGAACGTTTACTACTTCGGTGACGAGCACGGGTATGGTGTTAACAAACCTTGAAACATAATCGGGGCGCACCGGGATTCGAATCCACAATTAAAGGTTTATTGCATGCCTAAGGGACGCAACTCTGCACAGCGACTCGGACATCCGTGCCCCCGGGACTACAAAGAATAAACTTAGAAATCTCGTAAAAGCAACTCTATCAAATCGATACAGTGAACACCCGTGAATAGGTCTTCAGCAACCCATGTTATCCGTCAAAGGCGACTATGCTTGTCGTAAGAGGCGACTAACGGGATCGAGTGGTCACACTCGACCATTTGGTTGATGCATGTCATCGTATCCCAATTGCGTAGATTGATGCTCATGGTATCAATCACTGGATTGTCTGGTCCAGACTCGATTTGTTACAGGCCGCTGTCATATGTGTGGAAACATTGCTGCCTGCGGCAACAAACAACAAACAAACAAACAAATGATACAGCGAAACCTCGTTGATCAGGACGGTGCCGGTCGAGTATTTCAAAGCTGTGATTTGCTTCCTTGGTTTCACATAACGACTTCACTATATTCGTCCGTATGTATTCATGTTTGATGGAGGAACGTTTGCATACAAACCTTGATAATACTAACGGGGGTCCAGAATTTATGAGGTTCAGCTATATTTGTATGAATATTTAGCACGTCGATTAGTATTCTAACTACTGCATCGATCAATCTGTACCAGTCGATAAAGCAAGCTTATCCATTGAGATACTAACTTGAGAGATTGTACGAAACGGACCGTCTCAGTGGTCTAGTGGTAGAGCGTCCGCCCGGTGAGCGAAAGGTCCGGGGTTCGATCCCCGGCCGCGTCATACCAAAAGACGTTAAACGATGGTACTTGTTACCCTGTCTGGCGCTCGGCTCTAAGGGGCTAAAACATGGATTGGTCGGCTCGGAGTCAGTATGCTGTGTCTGAGTGGGGTATTCATGTTAAACTGCGACATGGTATCTCAGTGTGCTAGCACTATAAATCGGCATCAGTCCGGACTAGTACAAGCAGCCACACATACACGTGCATGCACGTCGCTACATAAGTGCAATAATCGTGGGCGCGACGTTAAATCTCATTTCACAACCTGTGTGAAACGGACGTGTCAACAAAAGTCGCATTCATATAGATATAAATCGATATTGAGCATATTGCACCGAATATATTATACGAGGTTAGAGACAATTTTTAAAGAGGTATAACTAACGGCATATGCCCGTGTAATGAACAAATTAATTTGGTATCATGTTTTATTTACTTCTAGTTGGTGTATTAGCTTACATATTGATAGGTAGTTGAAGTATGTTTCAAAATTGAAGAACATAATTGGAAATTGGAAATATTCTCATACTCGACTGCGTATGAAATCATATCACAATGCATTATTAAAATATCTCACATCATTTAACACGGATAATTAGGATGAAAACATGTGACAGCTTGCATCTTGTTTAATAGTTTCAGTTTTATGTATTCGAGGTCAACTACAGTTCAACCTGGGGGAAACATATGTTTCACAACACGCATAACTGCTCTCATTAATATACCTGCGTGCTGCATTTAAAACTGTACAGTATTCCGATCCAGTTACACGAATGTTTTTAATGGTTCATTCTGTTAAACAGACTGGCAGGATGAGAAAGTAATGTGACTGTTAAACTCACAGTCAGCTGTGGGTATGTATTCCCCGTGGAACCGGGGTAATAATATTGTACTGCTTTGAGCATGCTCCTGTGTGGTGTTGAAATATAGCGCAAAATAAATTACATTATTATTTTATACAGATTAAAATAAAAAATGCAGCAAAGAGAGTTTGTGTGATCCTGGCACAGTCAGGCTGATTAGGTTCATCATCAACTCAGGGCCCTTGCCCCCTCTACACGCAGCCCAGACAGTGAATGGGACTTCCCAGGAAGCGCTGCCTCGTCGAAGCCACCAAGAACCTTTCGGAGAATGTGGAGGCTGCCCAACACTGCAGCCTTATGCCTTACCCAGATTGTCAGAAGGGCTGTATTCCTGGTAGCAAACCCGGGTACTCTCCCAATGTCAGTCAGCAGATTGGGATGTACAAAACCTAAGGCACCGAGAACAATGGGGAGTCGGACAACTTGGTACTTGGGGTGCAAGCGTGACATTTCGAAAGCGAGGTCCGCATGTTTGCCATGTTTTTCCTCAATCTTGCCAATCACATTAGTGTCAAAAGGGACAGATGATTTAATGATATAAATGATCATTGGGTTTATCAAAAAGGACAAGATCAGGTTTGTTGGCCTGGCTAGGTCTAAGGCTGTATGCGGGCCAATTCCAGAGAATTTTGTATTCATCATTTTCAATGACACCTCGAAACGTATTCTGGGTCGTGCCATGGACACCTCTGTGTCAAAACCACAAGTCGGCAAGTTTTGCTTAGTAATAGTACAGGTGTCGACAAGTACAACTTACCAGTTGTGTTCGAGAAGGCAATTGTTGCATACTGATAGTACAGGTGTCGACAAGTATTACTTACCAGTAGTACACAGCACTAACGAGCATCAGGAGCCACCATGACAAACCCAATTTTCGACCAGTGGGTTCGGTTTTCCGGAAGCAGCCAAGAAAGTAGAGGAATAAGGTGATGAAAAACGGAATATACCTGAAATGAAATCATTTGTTAACGTGTGAACGTAATGAAATCACTCATAATACAATTAAACAGAACAGTGTGATAATATTAAGAATGCCCAGAGTTAACATAAAGAAAACATAATGTCTGCCATAGCGTCTAATGCAATCAAGTAGAATACAATAATTGTATAGTATGTAATATTGTACAAGATGTACAAGGATAATGTTATCTTTTTGTGTAAACAATGAAATCATATTGTTTAAGCAGGGTTGAAACGTGTACAAACATGTGGTGTTGGTGTAGCACACTTTACTTGTATAAAGATGTGATATAGTGTTCTTACCACATCAAATGCCCTATTTCTTCATCGTATGTGTAGAGAAGTTCAAACAAACTAACCTGAATAAATGAAATATAAATCGCATAAATATATATAAGCGTTTGCAGTATGAATCATATTAACGTTCATTATAGAGTTATAACGCCACAGTCAACAGGTGGTTGTCGCTTTACGCAGCTATCGGCAATACTCCAGCTATACCACGACGAGCACTGGCCAGACAAACAATCATTCAGATCCGACACTGCATCCACACAATCCACATACGTCGTCCCTTATGGCAATAATTGGATTCTTAGTAACCATTCTGACCCGGAATCCCATAGGGTTTTAGCGGACGAAAAAATGGTTTTCCACCAGGTTAGCCTAATACTAAAACGTTTTCCGATATTGGAAGAGTGAATATTAACATATTTTTGTAAAGAAATAGACCAGTTTCGGAATTATGAAAAGTCAGTTTTTACACAAGTGATCCATATATCTGAATATGTTTAAAATGATTGTTTATCACAGTGACATGAAGATAACAACATAATAGTTAAGAGAATGCATTGTTTGCTGCCTTGTTTGTGAGCTATGCTAAACATATATGATAGCCTTTCTTACAAGTTTCTGTGGTTTCAGCTGCTGCATGATGGGGTTGTCTCTGACCGATAGGTGCAACTCATACCCCACGTGTGGAAGTCTGTGGTTGACGGAGTCTCCGACCAGATGAATGCTGGCCCCCATCACTAAGGTGATAACGGAGAGGTATGATACGCTCGGGGAGAGCTTCTGAGGGCTACGTTCCTGGAGCTGGGGGTGAATAAGCATGTTTATTACCCACGAGGGCAAACATATCGGGGTTCATAAATACCATATGTGCCCTTGGGTCATATCACGTCACGACACAACAGTGTATTGTTTCCGTCAACCGGGTGACATTGTTGACGTCATTCGAATCTTATTCTGACGTGAGGTCGGAATGACGTCACACTAGAAACGACGATTGTTGACGTAATTCGACAAATTGTGTTTCCGCTGCTGTTGCTGTCCTGTTGCAACCACTAAAATTCTTCTCTGTTTGGAGTAAAAAGTAGAACATTATATTCGTGCTGATGTCATACTATGTTTACGACACTCGTGCCTTATACCGGAATTACACCTGTAACACAGTCACCTAATTACATATAGATGGAGTCAAGGACGATTTGTTCTGGTAACAATGCAGCACTATGACGCCATATTGTCTCAAGTGCAGTCAGAATGGCATGTGATATAGGAGCTGTGATCAGGGTCACCCACTGGATATTTTAATTGAAAAGATGTGGAAATGTTTGAAATAATGTTATCAACATTGATAATAGAGAGTGGGTATGGTTTTAAGCCATTTTATCAGCATTCCACCAATATCACGGCGGGGGACACACATAATGGGCTTAATATATTAAGATTGTACCCATGTGCGGAATCAAACCCGGGCCTTCGGCTTCACGACCGAACGCGTTTACTATGCCCGCTGTCCCTCGTCATAAGAATAGCACTTCTATCACATACAATAACTTTGGACTAGAAACATGAACAAGTACAGCCGTATGTCTAAAATGAGTGACAAAGGACGACATCTCGAACTTCAAAAGTACAGCTAACTAAGAGAACAGTGACCAAAGGTGAATTATGCTTCAACTATCTTTTCCTACATCTCAAAATAAATGCAGTTCAGGTCATAGAGCTGTTCATATTCAAATATTTGATACCCTTCCTGAATACCTGTAGAATGGGTCTTTGTTTGAATTTTGGCGCCACCCTTCAAAGTTGTTATTGTCATAGTAATAAATGAATATAGTCCATTCATATTAACACATCTGAAAAAATAATTCTGAATCGCATTTGTTTTGTTTTGCACATTTCGTAAATTATGTAGACCTAACTGACATATTTTAAGGTCATTGTCCTTTCAGAATGAGATCATCTCGATCATGCAACCATTATAGGAAGCATTAACCATTTCCGAAACAGTAGCTATTTATTTTCATCACAATATTAATGATTCGGATATGTTGTTTCTTGTACCAAGACACATTAGGGTTCTGTTCCAGGAGTCATTATCATCGCATTCTCATATCTATTAGCAGAAAGAGTGATGATTCACATTTCAAACAGAGACCAATATCATAAATTGGATCCATCAGATGACAAACATAATAAAGATTTCTAATATAGGTGAGTCTAGGTGTGCAAGGTAAATGTTCCCATCAAGAAATAGTATATGTCTTTCTATATCGAATAAGAGCCCGAAATGTACCTGAGACTTTTTATTGAATATCATCTATCGCTGAGATTCTACACGTCTACTGAAATTAAGTCTGTAAGCTTAATGTGTCCGCCAAACTGAGATAACTCGTCAAAATAACATTGCTGATGGTAACTGAAGGTAGACGTTGCTTATTTAAACGTGAAAATGATCGGAATTTATAGAAAATTAGAATCATTAACTTTTCGGAAGCACTTTCGGGTCATGTGTTTCATATGAAGGCTTCTGTGAATGTGTAAATAACTGTAGTGTATAGTAATTTTGGTATAACCTCTTTGAGTGAGTAAGAGAGTAGGGTTCAACGCCGCTTTGAACAGTATTCCAGTTGCATCACGGCGTGTCAGCCTAATGTGGGAGGAAACCCCGAAGTGATGCAGGTCTCCGACGTTTACCACTTTAGTGAAACCCACAAGCACGGGTTAATCCACTTTGGACAGTGCATTTTAATGTCATATGTGAACAGAAAGCCAATGGTGATATAATTAAGAGATCATCGGTAAGATACTGGCGATCATGGGCAAATATTGTGCAGGATTAGCACTCACATTTTCAGAACCAAAGGAATGTTCTTAAAGTACATGGTGTTCATCCTCATTGCAGATTCAGAACATGTGAAACATGCGACCCAATATGGGTCCGATACCGAGAAACAGTCAGTAATTGTAAAAAGAAGGATAAATATCTATGTAAAATACTAAAATGTACCTTCAGTAAGCAGAATGGCGTGATGACGTTGTAAGCCATATGGAAATAGTCACCGATGCTGGGCCTATTCAGGGGAGACCACTCTAACGGAACATACCACTGGAAAGCAACAATAGCCATACTTTCATGAGGTGTTAAATCATTGTTCCTAACATCAGTTTAACAAACATTGTTGTGCTGCCCATACGTTAACTTCTGCTGGGTCTATTTCCCGAATGACAACTGTCATTACATGTAAGCTCTCGACAAAGCAGAGCAGTTGATGATCTGAAACACAATCTCATTAATATAATATATCTTTTACTTTGATAGATGCATCTGTGCGTGAAGACACGAGCACACCTCTGTAAGAGGTCGAGTCAGGTGAACTTTCTGATCATAGTCGAGGCTTCTAAACTTTCGGGACGAGTGAGAGGCATTTACACCCGCATATCTTATTTCTGTATCTCGAAAGCGAGCTTTAACGACATATTCCGAATGTTCATAATGAGCGGGTGGGTGAGTTGGGTTTAACGCCGCTTTTAACAGTATTCCAGTTATATCAAGGCGTGTCAGCTTAATGTGGGAGGAAAGCCCGAAGTGATACAGGTCTTAGACGTTTACCCCTTCGGTGAAACCCACGAGCACGGGTATGGTGCTGACAAACCTAGAAACATAATCGGGGCGAACCGGGATTCGAACCCATAATCACAGGTTTCTGGCGTGCCAAAGGGACGTAACTCGGCACAGCGAATCGCGACACCTTAGACGACTGGTCCACCCGTGCCCACTGCCGCGCCATTATCGTGTTGTACATTTTATACACAGCCTTGTAACTCCGTGTGTCATCTACTCACAAAAAGGGAGTGTCATCGAGGGCATATTTGTGTCCTGCGTCGGGTTTCTCCTGTTCAAATCGAAATTTCCGAAAAGATATAAAGAAATGACAGAAGAGCTCAAGAGCCCACGTATCTTTTATTAAACTAGGCGGTCAAAGGTCGCTCAGGTGTCACCTGACGCGACCTTCTGTAAAAGTATCCTCAGATCCTCACATCGCATTTGAGTCAAATATCTCCTTTTCATGAGATTAATCTAAAACATATACTGAAAGTATCATTAACCAGCTCACTATAAAGAAATATTAATGTGAAAGCCAGAAAATAATCGGTCTCGATTATCTGCTGAAACAGATTTCATTCTGCGTAAATGGCAAAATAATGGTAAAATGTATGAATGGATCACTGAAAATCAGTGATGACACCAGATGCTCGCAAAAACGGTAAGCATGTCCTGCTCTACCCGCAACACCCGTCACTCACACAATTTATATAAACAAGTAAATGGGGTATTTTTGCCCAAGGCCCCAATTCCATCTAAAGAAATGGGTCACTTAAAATACAATCATGTAACCATGGAAGTTATTTTTACACCTTAATACTATATGAAAGTCTTATATAGATTCCCTGAAAATGAAAGCTGTTTGAAGCCTCTAAATCACAAGTACACATTTAAAGGGCCTTCCTGAAAATAAATTTCATTTCTGTTTTAATTAAATGGGACATTGACATATGATACGGAAAACGTCAAATACCACATAAAGCTTGTTATTGTTTTCATACAGTAATATAATAAGCTTTTTGTTTTATTTTGATTGAGGTTAAGGGGGAGTCTTCTACTATCGCCAACGTCCACTTTTGCCTACAGTGTTATATATTAATCTCAAGCTTAGTGATCTTAGCTGTTATTTATCAGTGTAGCTGACACCCCGTCAGAAATGTCATTCAACCTTTCCTCTCTTTGGAATAACGCCTTCACTCTTGTAAGACTTGTTTATATATATAAACAATTCATTTGATTTGATATACTTTTCTTCTAAGGTAGATATTATTATGATTGTAATATACAACAAATGGATCAGAATTATATCAATACAAATGTATTACCTTTAATATAACTTTTAAATAAATATGAATATACATGTAACTACTTCATGTATAAATTATATGAATAAAGTATTTTAAAAAGTCCATCTGGCCATCTTAGGGCTTAAGTGATGGTAACTCCCATACTTAAACACTGGCTTACGATAGTCGTAGCGTTAGGATCGCTTTGTGGAACGGCGCCCTGGTAACATAATTTTATCATTTGCATGTATAGTAATTATACACAGGAACATTTGTTTGTACATATGCACCTATTTCATACAACCATCGCTTGCCGTAAAAGGCGACTAGGCTTGTCGTAAGAGGCGACTAACAGGATCGGGTGGTCAGGCTCGCTGACTTGGTTGATGCATGTCATCGTATCCCAATTACGTGGATCTATGCTCATGATATCAATCGCTGGATTGCCTGGTCCTGACTCGAATATTAACAGACCACCGTCATACAGCTGTAATATTGCCGAGTGTGGCGTTAGTAAACAAACAAACAAACAAAACATATAGTTATGACATGACACACTTCACTTCTTCATAAGCGGATGTAGGCGAACGTTGACTGCACCGTTAGGGGCTGACCGGTTCATCACTTGTATATATTATTTAAGGTAATGTTGCAAGTAAAGTGAGCGCTTTGTCTCTTTAAAATAAAATGGTACAGAATACTTTATCAAAATCTATCTCAATATTTAAAAACATAGCATATCGCTTCTTTGCATTGGAAAAAAATCTGCTCAACTTATATTCTGTCCATGTAATTGCTGTGTTAAGTTAGCACTGTTCCTGGTATATGAAGTCGGTCTGTAAATAATCGAGTCTGGACCACACAACCCCCCCCCCCCCCCCCCCCCCCCTCCCCTCCCCACACACACACACACACATCCCCGATTGGTTTAGTGTGACATACAATCAACCAAGTCACCCAGCTGGACACGACAAACAAAGGCTGCTGGGGAGCTCTGTTCTTACCCAGAGTCCCCACTGGTCTAATATGTTTGTTCCACACACAGAGGTAAACAGTAGTTGGCGTCTGTTTCAAACAGTTTAACGATTAATTTTCCTGCCAAATATCCATTGGTATGATCACCACTCACGCCAGCAATCGGTCTCCCGAAGTCAAAGATCCAGTTTACGAGTGCCAGTGTCAGCCATATGTCAAGATGGAAGGTTTCACTGGGCGCCTGTCTCCGCCGGTGTCTGAAACCACATACATATCGAGTTGACAAGTTCTGTACATTCAATATGTCTAGAACACAAAGGAGTTATCATCACTGCATTGTTGTTGTTTACCTACATCACTGGGTTCCGAGGATGTGGTTCTCTGGGATACAAACTGCAACTAAGTGATGCTGTATGACGTACAATATTCTTCTTATCTCAGACGCTTATTGAAAAAAATTGTGGGAGTTCGAATTATTTTAGTTTTCGCGTGAAAATAATAGCGACAAAACCAATTCAATTGTCATTAGAAATATCGGCTAACAGCAAAGCCCATTGTACGGCATCGTTCTTCGCAAAATATAAAGACTGGCGTAATGAAATCTCATTTGTTGAATTCGAAGCCCGTCAAGCTGAACTATTCACAGCGTATGAATACTTTTCTTGTTAAATTAGAAAGAAAACTCCCCGTGGCATTTGGCATATCGACACGCAAATCGTTTTTATGTTGGAATGAGTTTGTATTAGAAACGTAATCATTTCAGATTTGTTTGATAACACCAACGCATCAAGTGTTAAATGTAGCGCGGTTAAATCGACAGGTAACCTAGCTCTACATGAAAACACAGTATGTTTATCTCCTTTCTACCATGACGAAACAAAACGCGAACTCTTTGATGTTAGCAAATATATTGAGTGATGTATAACCTGTCGAGAAATTATAAATCTCTTAACAGATTACGTGCATGGATAGCATAAACAAATATAAGTACATAAATATGTATTACTAATCCCTTATCGACTGCTTATGGTCTCCATCGAGCAACCAGGTATTATATGTGCTGTTCATTATAATCGATATCCAAATAACCGAAAATAAGTTTAGAAAAAAGCAGTATTAAAAACGTGATTTCAATTTGATTTGATTTGATTTAGTCATATTTTATTGGAAAAAGGATAGGACGAAAGTTAATCACCTTCTTGGTCTCTGCTTACAAACAATTATTAATATGGTTCCAAGGTAATAATACATTTCATGTTATTAAGATATGGTATACAAATAACGTGTATGTACAAGAAATGTAAAGTGTGCATTGCCTTTTAAGGTCGATATAAACCTTTTAATGTTCTCTATGAATTCATGATGAAATGTTTACAATTATAATTGTTCCGACATATTTCTGTCTCTTGAGAATAGTTTTCAAAATCGACTGCCTCCCTCTCACTGTAATATTTCGAATCAATTCTACTCTAATTTGTCTGTGTACTGAACATTGTGAAAACACAACTAAACAGCTACATGCGTATCGGTATGATCTCCGCGTGGGCGTCAATCGCAGATCAGTGTAACTATCTTAATTTACACTTAAGTGGGTGAGTTGGGTTTAACGCCGATTTTAACAATATTCCAGTTTTATCGCGGCGTGTCAGCTTAATGTGGGAGGAAAGCCCGACGTGACGCAGGTCTTAGACGTTTACCACTTCGGTGAAACCCACGAGCACGGGTATGGTGCTGGCAAACCTAGAAACATAATCGGGGCGAACCGGGATTCGAACCCACAATCATAGGTTTCTGGCGTGCCCAAGGGATACAACTCTGCACAGCGAATCGCGGCGCCTTAGACGACTGGGCCACCCGTGCCCCCTACACTTGAGAGAATACGTAATACTCAAAATGACCCATGTGTATTTTGTTATTTATTAATACTATTTTATTACTTAACCCGGGACAATGCCTACTGCTATTTGTGACATTACCGCAGCAGCTGTAAGTTATCTTGCCTTTCAAGGACAGCTAGACTACACTTAGTCTCTGATAATATACAATTTTGATAGAAACAAACAACTCCACTTCCTGAACCTGTGGAGAATGTAGACTTCACTTGGGGCTATATCGTTGCAGTAAGGGCTGGGCGAAATGGTAGGTCATATGGTTCAGGGACTGTGAGACAGACAGCTTAAAACGTTTGTTGACCTAGAAGTAGAACACTCTACCCCACATTAACCATCAGGGTGGACGGATAACATGACACACCAGCTACTTCGCCTAATAAACCTGCCAGTGCTAGGATATTAAATGTACTGTTAAGTATAACTACCTTACGGCTTGTTTGTCAATCGAATCCCTTTTATCTTCGTTTGATGTTGCAGTGGTTCTATTTCTAGCGGTACTCTTTTTCGTCATGGCTGCTGTATTGATTTGTCGCGTGTGCCGCCCCGAGCCACGCGAGGGAGCAGATACGCTACACCTTCACATAGCTATCAGTAAGATTAAATGGTAGTTCATTCGGTCAGGTGACACATGTTCAGCGTATACCTGTAACAATACACTGAACCAACCTTTGCTTATCGAGGGAAATGTTTGTTGACTTACACTTCGAAACAGTTTCTTATCCCGACATAAATTGTACGTTATGAATGTTGGTGATACAGTTGAGTGAATTTGAAAATTTGTGTTTCGGCTTTCGTGTTCCAAATGCATATCTCAAATACGTATGTGGGCCAATAGTCATGCACAGATGCAAAGTGACAATGGGAGTATGAGTACATCTATTAACCTATCGCACACACTGCCCACTTATACACGGATATCTTTCCTCAACATATCGTAGAGTGAGTGAGTTGTATGCTGCTTGGCACAGTACTTCAGCTTAATGTGGGAATATAGCAGGTCTTAGACCTAAGAATGTAGGTCCGAAGCTACCTATGTTTGTCGCACGAGGCGACTGAATTCGAAAGGATCGTGTGGTCAGACTCCGTGATCCTCGTTGAGGCCATGTCATCGTTCCCACATAAGTGGATCAATGCTTATGATGTCAATCACTGGATTGTCTCTCGCAGACTTAATTATGTTCAGACCGCAGTAATATAGCTGAAATAAAGCTGAGTGTCGTTAAACAACACACACTCTCACGCACTCAACCCCCCCCCCCCCCCCCACACACACACACACGCACACACACATAAACCGACACCCACACACACCCAGAGTGTCTAGACACACAAAGCTAGTATCATTTTTGTATTATATGGATGTATCGTTGTATTCAGTTACATGTATATCTCGAAATGTCCGTCTTTGAAATCATATGAATCAGATATACGAAAGGTGTTATTGAGGTTTATATATGATTTAAACTTATCAATAATAATATGTATTTACTTTGTTTATTGCAATTGGGTTTTAAAATCATTAATATTATTAATTATTTTTCGACCAACCGCGAAGTTATTCTCAGTATTGAAGCATAAAAAACGGTACAATCCTCTGATTGGGCTTTGATTTACCCACACCTGGCGGTGTTGTACATTTTTCACAGTTCGTTGTTTAACGCCGCACGAAGCAACATTCTATGCTATATGGGCTATCAGGACCACACAAGCCAGTCATCTGTATCGCGTGAACAAAGTCCCACTCCGTTTGGTTACGATGACACGAATGACTACCGGTACAGGTTGCTGTGGACCTTTGTATTCTAAACTCGAATCCCCTTAGATAATAGTAGCTGTGGGGCTAGGTGAGGTGAGGTGAAATGGGGTTTAACGTCGCGTCCAAGATTATTGCATATATATAGCGACGTGCATGTACGTGTGTGTGTTTGTGTGGCTGCTTGTACTAGTCCGGACTGATGCCGATTTATAGTACTAGCTCACTGAGATACCATGCCGCAGTTAAACATGAATACCCCACTCAGACACAGTATACTGACTCCGAGCCGACCAGTTCTTGTTTTAGCCCCTTAATGCCGAGCGCCAGATAGGGTAACAACAATTACTATCTTTTAACGTCTTTTGGTATGACGCGGTCGGGGATCGAACCCCGGACCTTCCGCTCTCCGTGCGGACGCTCTACCATTAGACCACGGAGGCGGTGGGGTTAGGTGAACTGGGGTTGACACTGCGACGTACATGCACTCCGGACTTAGATGCCGATCTTATAGTGCCAGCCCACTGAGATGCCATACTGCAGTTTAACATGGATATCGTATAGGATACAGTATAGTGATATGGTCGACCAGTCCTTGTTTGACGTTTGAACTAAGCAACACTGAGATGAAACATATTGGTTGGTATTTACTTATATGAATAATATTGGCAGAGTAAATCAACATTACATATAATAAATTTAATAAAGTATTCTACATCGCTTTAAACATTCAAACACATTAAGCTAACTGCACCTAACACTAGTTATAATAATTCAATTTGAACACGTACATGTAGAGAAGGGATTCATTCTGGATTATATTTTATTGAATTTTATTTTGAAACAGCAATCAAGGATTATGGATCGTGTCATCATTCATATGATGGATGTGTTACAGTGTTAAGTAATGTGTTTTGAAGACCCGTGAAACTCCGGGGTAGAATTGGTCTTCAGCAACCCATGCTTGGCGCAAAAGGTGACTATGCTTGTCGCAAGAGGCGACTAACGTGATCGGGTGGTCAGCCTCGCTGACTTGTTTTGATGCATTTCATTGTATTCCAATTGCGTGGATGGATGCTCATGATGTCAATCACTAGATTGACTGGTTCAGACTCGATTATTTACAGACCGCCGTCATATAGCTGGAATATTGCCGAGTGCGGAGGTAAACAACAACCAAAGACAAAGTGTTCTGAAATATATTCATGATCATATGCATATTATATTTAACAGTAGCATAATTCATGCAACGCCATAACAAGAACTTCCCCATAGAGCGAGGACCTATCAACATCTTGAACGTGACATTATTAGAACCAAAGTATATTTGTTTATAAGATTACTTCCTCAAAATGTTAAACATTGACTTATGTAGATTACGATACCCATTCAACATTGTTAATGGTATCATTACTCGCTTGGAAAAATAATATTGTGCCCCGATCATGTTACCTATTAAAACCTACCTTCACACATTTCTATAATAATTAAAATTCAATAAAATGCAGAACAGGTACATTTTATTGGCATTCTTTTGGAATATGGGCATAAATAAGCCGTCAAGTCAATCATATGGGTTATACGTTTGTCATCAATAATCCTACACAAATATAGTGTCAATTAAACACGCCACATAAACAACAGACTTAACGGTATTGACCACAACAGGTATGGCGTGTGACGTTTCCAGAGTTTCCCCGCCATGTTCCCCCCTGAGATCTGTTTACAAGGATTTGGGCAGTTACGGTGGGGTCAGACGACTAGCATTAGGGTAGGGGATTATGTTGACGTGTGGTTTGTTCACTGACCACCACCCGGGGGATACACCTACAAAAGGCCCACACACGACAGACCAGGTACGGTATTCTGTTCAGCTTTCTCTAGCGTTAACCACCACTCGCTGTTGAGCCGCGTTCGCCAAGAAAGATAACTCGTGATAGCTTCTTGGTATTGAGACACGAATTTGGTCTGTATTTCTCGACCACAATGTTGTTCAAGCTTGTATGCATCGTCGTCTTCATTGCCAGCTCCACTGCTGCCTACTACGACGATGCTGAGGCCGACGTCAGAGATCCAAATGCTACGTTTATCCTCTACGACGTCACTGCACATAAAGGCGTTGGGTTGGACCTCAAATCTGCGTTCAGTCAACTGAAGAATATGGAATATGCATTCAAGGTAAAATAATCTTGATTTTATTATAATTACATTTCTAGGATTAAGAACATTAATTTTGAGACGAAGTTACAAACATACCAACATCTGTATTTTTGTTCGAGTATGTTTCCCTGAAAGGGGGCGACGAAGACTTTTTATCACTCACCAACATGTCCACCGAACGATTTATTGCTTTTTGTAATATCCGAGTCAATATATTTTCCCAATATTTCTATAACAATTTTATTTTTCACAAACTCCTAGTTCGTCAAATATTACATTCATTGTCTCTCTCAGGTACTTGGAGAAGATAGAGCTTTTTTTGGTAAGTATAAATTGTTTTATCCGTAATTCCTGAAATGTTTACAACCTATGGATTACATTTAATAAGCAGCAACCGCCGTACTCACATCTCACCAGACATATGTTGTGTTGGTGATCCTGCGAGCAGCATAAAACTAATGATAAGGTTATTTATCAGCAATACAATACACGCACGCTCAAACTAATTAACGGATGGCGTAATCTTGTGTTTCATGTGCTATAATACTTGCAATACTATTTCCGGGCGCTTTTAAGCAGGTAATATTTCATATACGTAATAAATCATTCTCGAAAAGTACTTGGGATGTCGCGATCCCCAGCGAGGTAGCCTAGCTTTGGTTGCTGGTGGCTTATAACCCGTGTTTTTAACAGTTTGAAATAATATTGTATCATAACATATGTTTGACAAATTTGTTTTCAAACATAACCTTGTATTCATGACTCAAATGTATATAAATATATATATATATATATATATATATATATATATATATATATATATATATATATATCAACATGTTCTCGTCGTTATATGGCTTTATGTCGATGCGACGTTAAATCTTAACTCAATTACTCGAAAAGTACTTTTTATGGACATAATTGATAACTTTACAAGTGACCCAACCTTTAATTCAAGCTGAAATGAGGCGTTCCGTTAATCAAGATGTCTAGACCTAACTTAAGTACCGCCGTTGCGGACCGGTATCCTCGTCCGATCGGACGCAGTAGACTTGCTCCCTGAGAGAGGTATGCAAGTCCTGTACTTTAATACTTTGCATATTTCGGTCATTTATGGGAGGTGGAGTAGCCTTGTGGTTAAAGCGTTCGTTCGCTAGTTGGCCCGGGTTCGAATCCCTGCATGGGTACCTACATTTCTGGTGTCCCTCGCCGTGATATTGCTGGAATATTGCTCAAATCGGCGTAAAACCCATCTCACTCACCCACCTTTTTGTCATATAACATAGTGTCATAGTGTCAAATTAATCATAACATTATGAAATGCAAAAAAGAATTGTTTGGTTTCTCTTTATCATATCGTCTTATTTAGAAGCCCAAACTGAAAACAAGATTAAAACACACATGTTTTTCCAAGATTAAAATATGCTAGTGTTTAATTGGGATGATCATATCACCATAAATGCATAAAGGCTTATTACAACTTGTTTTTAAATTTTCATTCAAAATTTGAAATTTTAATTTTGACAAAACAATTTTTGATGTGAAGACGTTTTGATGATATATGCCTGTAATATAATGTCATGAACTGATCCTTTTTATAAAATAAATGTTAAACGTCAATAGCCATTCTCCTTTAGCCTTGGAAACATATTCCACTGGTCGTAAAAGGCAAAAATAGCGGTTTCTCTAGCAAAATGTCACCAGCCAATATTTAATTCATCCTCCTTCATACTCCTGTTCCTGTTTCTTTCTTCAGTCGTTCCTGATGATAACAGGTGTGAAACACTTACCACTGATTTTTCGGGATTCAAAGTGGATGCTCAGCCAATCAGAGGTCTGAACACCAGCGACGTTCCAGCTTCTTTCAACAATACCGGTCTCTTCATCATCACCATCCATATAACAGGTGAGTTGATCAAATCGATCACCGAGAAGCTCAGACTTGTTAAGTTGCACAGCGCTGCGCAGAGTTGCGTCCCTTAGGTGAGACATAATCCAAAATCTTCGGTTCGAACGCCTGATTATGTTTCTTGGTTTGTCAGCACCCTACCATTGCTCGTGAGTTTCACCAACGTTGTAAACGTCTGAGACCAGCATTACTTCGGGCTCTCCTTCAATATCAAGCTGGCAAACCAAGAAATAACTAAAAACTGTGTTCAAAGCAGCGTTAAACAAACTTTACTCACCCACTCATGCATGTTGACGTTTCTAAGGAAATAATCCTTCAACGGCATATTTCTTCACATGTAAATAAATTTTAAATCAGAAGATGTTAATTCAGCCCCTCTTGGATTTACAGGGTTGTTAAGTGTGTTATGGTATTTCCTCTTACGTTATTTTAGTAGAAGGGTGTATTTACTTGATCTTGTTCTACAAAAGGAATGCCGTTATTGGGAAAGACGTTGTCCGTTAATTGAGTGAAGCATTATATGTAGGTTCTTGTAAACTGTACGCGTGCGTGTTTGTGTTTGTGTTTGTGTGTGTGTGTGTGTGTGTGTGTGTGTGTGTGTGTGTGTGTGTGTGTGTGTGTGTGTGTGTTTGTGTGGCTGCTTGTACTTGTCCGGACTGATGCCGATTTATAGTGCTGGCCCACTGAGATACAATGCCGCAGTTTAACATGAATAGACTTCGAGCCGACCAGTCCTTGTTTTAGCCCCTTAATGCCGAGCGCCAGACAGGGTAACATCAAGTACCATCTTTTAACGTCTTTTGGTATGACTCGGCCGGGGATCGAACCCCGGACCTTCCGCCCTCCGGGCGGACGCTCTACCATAGTACTCACAATGAAAGTAATTCTCAGGACAGACACAGGTGCTTATTTTACACTAATACATATTTAAAGAACCATATATATTTTCAAATTCTCTGTAATGCAAGGGCACCAAATTTAATAAATTACCATGGACAATTTGTTCCTATAGTTACATAAACAATCATAATCAATTATCCAATAGGAAACTATTCCCTTCAGTCAATAAAAAACGCATCTCAATAAACTATTTTGTATATAAATGTATATTGACATATATTTTCCTTTCATGATTTGTATATTTTTTTATATCTTTGTCACACATTGTGTATTTTTATTTGTGATAAATATAATGGATAATGTTATCGATACGATAACCCAATCCGTACCTAGCAGGAACTACATTTTATCTCCATACATTGATTCAATGTCTTCTTACTCAAAAACTGTTGACTAAAGTTCGCAATAAGTGTAGATGGAGGTATGTGTTGGTGTGATTATGTTTCAAAGATTTCAAAGAGCGTCATGCGACTCTTGCTCAGAAGTTGTTTGATCGGTGGCTGCAGCATTCGGGGCCTCAATGGAGCTTTCAGCGGGTTTTGTGGTGGGCGTGTGAGGGACGTATCCAGGTTTGGCGCGTCTGTGGCAGAAGTGATGTTCGATGCGATTCCCTGTTTTGAATTGTGTCATGTGTTCCCGTGTTTTTTTCGGAGGGGCGGTTGGTTTGCCTTTGCATGCGTTTGTGACGGGTGTGTGACGCGAACACTTGGTATCATCAGTATTTCATAGTGATTCATAAACACGATCATGATATGGTCGGAATCGTACAGTCGATGCTGCTCTTAGCAGATATATCTATATATTGAATATGGAATGGGAATGGGAACACACATTGCTGCAAATCATTTGGCACTATATAACAAAATAGGCGGTTCGACTTAAAGATTGCAGTCATACTTGGCTTCTAAGGTCGATGACACTGAGAGAAATTACGACTCAAACATCGATGCTTGTAAAAATGACATTATATGATAAACTGATTACAAACCTTATAATACTGCCAAATAATCATCACTATAAACTTGTCTTCCCAAGATATTTACGACATGTTATTTCAGGGAATATGTCTAAAAAACTTGATGTTAAATCAGGGAATATGTATAATACCTGAAAATTTAAGGGATTATGTATATTCCCTGAGTGAATCGGACATTAAATATATTCCCTGAAAATTTCAGGGATTATACATATTCCCTGATTATACATATTCCCTGTAACATATACACGCTTGTACATCACCACTTTTGGTCCTGTGTAACTTCTTTGGTTGGTTCCAACTTTTCAGTCCCCAGTTTGATTCCAGTATACTTTGACGTGCAAGTTATTTTCTCCTCTGAAATATTCAGCTGTATTATATTGTACAATATCCAGTCTTCATGTAGCCTTCTTCTTGATTCCTGGTGACAGAGCCAATAAGAAAGGAAGTCGCGCTAAATGCCACTGGGCTTGGGTTCCAGGACTGTCATTAGTTAGGAGATTCAGCTTGGGAGAAATATCTGTAATCTCCGGGAAAACAGGACAACCATTAGCTTGGCGGTTCAGAACAATATCTGTCATCTCACGCACTGATTGCAGAGATTTATTTGTCAGTTGGACAATGCAAGGATTTCACTCCATATCACTGATAATGTAAACAGTCGTTCTGTCTTTGACGGTATTGGGAATTATGCAATCTGTGATGAGATGATATGTCACTGATATTATCTGATGGTAAACTTGTCCTTAGGCTAGTGTCATGTCTGTGATATTCAAGTGATGTGCGGTGTAGGATATATCTGGGAACATTGTGGGATGCCGAAAATACACTACCATCGATTTTATGCTCGTTCCACCAACGTCATGTTAAAGAATACAGTTTATTCCAGTAATACTCAGTTCAGTTTTCTTTACGACACGGTAAGAAACAGTTCGTAATATAACTGGATATTATATTACCCGTCTGGGCAAGGATATAGGTGACATTATTTCCATTTATTCTCACAAAGCTTCATAATGTTTGCGTCATGCTGATTGACTAGTTGGTTTCAATTGTTCCATTGTTTCTTTCTTTGTGAACAGGCTTTTAGCATAGGTCGTCATATCAAGGAGTGTCACAAATACTTGAAGACAACTACTTCTATTGTTCATAGCGTCGTAAATGAATTTTTGTGACATCGTTCCAACAATAGGCTAACTGACAGATATCCCCACTTCAGGAACCCATTTCATTATATTTATCCAGAACAATATAGACTATTGGTAATAATAGAATTAGCTATGAGGAATTACAGATTATCTGTCAGACATTAATTAACTCACGACAGATACTTTATAATTCATTGTAGCGCTTAGATCTATGCTCAAATCATTTTTACAATCCACTTGGATTGAGAACATCTTCTTTTTAAAGAGGAATATAGCAGAATATGTAATTCTTGTAAACTCCCCAGGGAGCTGAGAATGAAAATCGAGTGCGCACTGATCCATTGACCGGGGTAATAATAGCTAGGCGCTATGAGCATCCACTTGGTGAATGGAACTTGGCGCATTATAAATGCGCATTAATTCATCATTTTTAGTTTGTGTCCAAGTGTATTAACATGTTATTCTTTAACTTCTTTTCATGACACCAGTTCAAGTTTCATTTTACATGCCTGCAGGTAATCTGTTCCCTTCTCCAAAGATTTGACATATGTATGAATGAAACTATGGAAAATAATCAGTTTCGTGAATCTTGTACGTTGCTGCCCTTGGTCCACTTTTTTCCTATAGGAAAGGACACAAGGAAGTCCTAATTTAAGTTAATACGACTTTATACATAAATATCCACCTTGGACATTTACTATCCACTGATAATGTTCCTTAATGTGTATACGAAACAGAGCGGAACATATTTTGACACAGATAATACGATGTTATCGATTTTCTGCCAGTTTTGCCAACGTCATTATGTTGGTTAATGGTTACAGTTCATTCTGAAGTTACCATCTTCAGGATTCATTGCACCCGGATTTAGATCATGTATTCAGTGTCAGACAATGGGACGTATATAAAAATGGAAACATGGACTTTTATACGTAATGTTATATTTATCTTTTGTGTATTGATTTGAGAAAATCGATGGCTCTACTGTATTGGTACATTCTCGAGATACACTGCACATTCATGTACATTTGTTCTTGTTACCGCTCTCCAACGAATGGAAATGTGTGTTAACGGATAAAATTATACATGTATGGAACAAAATGTAATCTGTTACATGCATTCCTGCGTTAGTTTTCGTGGTCCAAATGAAGTCATTATTTTCGTCGATATAATCTCATATGTAAATATCATATATATAATATCATTAGTGTCTATCCATAAATCGTGTTCTTTTAGGTGAAGTTGATGTCAGTGATCTCCTGAGTTCTGTCCAACAGAACTGTAGCACCTGCCTCAGAGCATTTGAGGTCCTTGGTTCGAAGCCAAAAAAGGTAATATCAAAATAAGGATATATATTAGGATCATGTCATAGTGGAGTGTCATATATGTGTGTCAAATAATGATAAGTTCTTGAATAACAGTGGTGGTATGGATAAAACAGATCATGTATGGATTTTGTTAACGCATTTTGCATTTATTTGCTTATAATTTAATTTCATAACGTCTCTGACGTAGATGATGTGATATGCACTTGGTCATTTGAGTATTTTCTTTCAGAATATTATCACCGGACCATAATTATTATTGTTGTATTATCAAGGGGATAAATAAATGATGACTATAATGTTGGACTGTCCTATTTTGTCTTATACAGTACGTCCTTGTCGGTAACATTCCCTTGGACCAACTTGATGACATCGTCAGCTCCTTGACCCCCGGTCAGGACGATACTGCTACAACCAAACGTGTTATCGACTTTAACACCTTCGCTAAGGAACATTCCAGAGGCTGCATCGACGTCCACAAACAGCATGCTGAGCACCAACCTGTCCATGTCGACTATAAACCCGTCCATGTCGACTACAAACCAGTCCGTGTCGACTACAAACCCGTCCACGTCGATCACAAACCCGTCAAAATCGACTACCAGCCTGTCAATGTTGAGTATAAGCCTGTTCCTGCTCCAACTCCAAGACCTTCCAATGGTCCCAGCAAGTCTGTCTCTCTTCGTCAGAGCCACGAGCCAAAGACCCCCACCCGCTTCATCCCTGAGGCTCCAGAATCCCCCAAGGTTAATTTCCCCAAGATCGAGCAGAACTTCTACGGCCAAACAGAGCATGACAAGGTTCAGGATGATCATTTCCAGAACATCAACTTCCCCAGTACAAGGAAAAGTCAGACCGGTTATGCTCAGCCAAACTTCAACGGATTTGGAGTTCAGGCAAAGAGCAACAGATTTGATACCAACCATCCAGGATTTGGTCTCAGTCTACATGATAATCCAAGCTCCCGCTATGTTTTCTAATCATACAACAAAAGTTGTTATTTTCATCATTCCCATCATGTGGAATCATTGAGAATTGTGGGCAAGGTTTGTACTACTTCATGCTATTTATTGTAATCATTGTTGTTAATCAATGACACGTGAATAAATTTATAGATAAAAAATTGATAGTTTCTGTTATGCGATGATAATGAAATTACGAACTTAGATGCAGATTACTGCATGATCCCTGATTGGCTCAGAAAGTTAAGCCACATGATCATTCATATCGGCGTAAAACAACCCACTCACGCTTGAGTATCCGAACTAAAGTCCATACGTACCTTTTGGATCTACACGTACAGCAACTCACTCACTAGTACAGTCATGTAACTTTGGAATGTGAAACCATACCAACAGAGGCCTACTCATCTGTCACTGAACGAACGTCATCCAATTAATTCTAGCACTTCCTTTGCCAATTTGTTACACTATACAAATTTAGGAAACTGTAGAAGGTCAGTGAAAGGCGGCTATGTGCCAGACAGAGAACTAGGATGTAGGCTAAACAATCCCTGTGGGTGTTTTACATATCCAATCCTGACACAGACATCAACTACCAATACCCCGTGGGCATCCAGTGTCAGGTTCTGGTAAAGCATTGAAGGGCTGATTAGCTGATGAGGTACATAGAGAAGTGAGGACATGGTTTAAATGCCGCTTACTGTCGCAGTTCTTCAGACCGGATTGAAGCGCCCAAGACCACTAGGCCAACCATGCAACTGCCTTGAAAGATAAGCATTAGTTGTGTCCCCACTGTACATTCACAGTATTAACGTCATATAAGTAAAGAAGCCTTGGAGTAGCCTAGTGGTTAAAACCTTCGTCGTCACACCGAAGATCCGGGTTCGAATCTCCACATGTGTACAATGTGTGAAATCCATTTGTGGTGTTCCCTCCGTGACGCTGCTGGAATATTGCTAAAAGCGGTGTAAAACCCTAGTTTATTCACTCACCTTTATAAGTAAAAAATATATGTAAAATATATAAAACTCTTTTTACATCCATAATGAAATCTCTTTGAGATTTGCGTCACGACCCCTTATAATTACAACCATTTATAAAGATAATCATAACTGTTCTTTGTTGTTTCAGCACCTTGACTGTTAGATTCGTACCCGCTCCAGTTATCCTCCAGTCTAAATATTATGTAGTATGTTTAAGTATTTCTCATAATGTAAAGAGAGCAATGACGTGAATACATTTATGTATAAGGTGCCATCTTCTCCCTTCTAAATCAAACATGGTACATACTAGCTACTGGTGCTGATATAAAGAAATAACGTTCAGTGTTGATTTAGACAGATAATGGTCTCTATTGACAATCTTTCATCAAAGGAACGAATGGAAATCATTACACCATATGAATATGTATCAAAGTGCAAAACCATGCTTTAATCTAGCAGTTTTATTGTTATACCCATTTCCCTGTAAGATTGTCGTGACAGAAATGCATACTAGCATGTATCAACGTGAAGGACCATACCTATCTAGCGGTATCTCATTCTGGTGCACTGTCCTAGTATGGGGATTTCTCTTGGCTGTAATCTGCAATACAGCCAACATCACAAGAAAGCAATTTTCTAAAGATGTCGAAGATAATAAGATGTTGTTCCAATATCATACAACAATGAAGATCATCGTGATATGAAACCTTTGTAAAGCTAACAGGTTCTGGCACATTACCCTGATAATTGATAAGAATAATGACTTTTCCCCACAATGTTGCACAGTTCGAAGGTTTTTTTTGTCCACTATTCACACACAGTGTAACGAAAGAATGACGATCGTTCACATTGACAAAACAATGCAATGCTCCTGAATGTCCAACAAATATGTTGGTGACATTGTGTCCTTCAATCTTCGAGCAAGGCCTTGTCCGACTCCTAGTGTTGCATATTTTGAGATTCCACGATGGCATCACTTGCAATGTAATTATTAACTCAAACCTTTACTCACTCGCTACAAGGTTCAATTTTCAAAAAGTGATCTGATAGCTGTGTTGAGGAAGTTCATATAATCTTCAGCACAAACAGTACAGGATCAGCTTACACGAATACAGGCAATGATATGAGGGGGAAATAATGTGCACGTGTGACCCACAAGGAGATAAGGGACCTACCTTATTGGTGCGAGGATACAAGTGTGCTGTGACGTCATATAGAAAGACGTTTAGCGTCAACTTACTCATGTAACAATTGCTATTTGTGCGGATTGTACAAACATATCCTATTTCTCTCTCGTTCGTTCGTAATGTAATAAAACCATTTCAAAACGTTTGACCATACATGTGTACATTCAAGTAAGCAAGTATCATGGATAAAAACTGCAACCATTACATAAACAGATATAAGCCTGAACATTGGACTTTACATATACAAATATAAATTGAAGCTTGAGAATTGTATATTTATTGTCCTAAGATACTAGTTTTAAAATATTTCAAGAAGTCAAAATGTAATTTTTCACTCATAATGTCCCTTATGTCATGGTTAGTTAAATTTATGCATTTTAGAACTGATTTTGTTCCCTCAGCTTAACCTGTAGTTAGCAGGATTAGAATATATGGAATTATTGAACCGGACGTACTCTTTTACAAGTTCCCTAGCCGGTTATAATCCATGTTATTTGATTTAGTTTCACGTGTAGTGTATAGTATAGTGTGTAATTTACTTTTTTCAATAATTATCAGATTTGAAATATATTTTGACAACCGTATCAGACTGTGGGCTGATATAGAAAAAAACTTCTTTTTTACAATAACAACAATATATTCCGTTTCAATGATTTGTATATCAAGAAAAGCCTCTTTGCAAGTTCATTTGAACCCCTCACAACGCGATCAGTTTACCGCTATGAATACACGTAGGAGACCCGTGAAGATCCGGGGTAGAATAGGTCTTCAGCAACCCATACTTGCCGTAAAAGGCGATTATGGTTGTCGTAAAAGGCGATTAACGGGATCGGGTGGTTGATACATGTCACCGATCCCAATTGCGTTAAACGATGCTCATGATGTCAATCACTGGATTGTCTGGTCCATACTCGATTATTTTACAGACCGCCATCATATAGCTGGAATATTGCTGAGGTCGGCATTAAACAACAAACAAAACATACACTTAGGAGAAACCCTGCATTACTCTGGGGAGTCCTTCCACATTGATAATATCGACACAAGTATAGTTATGCCACATAAAAGGATTACAGTGCATAAGTATGTCAAAATGAAATAACCTGACAGTGTCCAATACGCTTTAGCCATAATGACCAACCATTCCCCTATTACGTCTACCGTTATGAGAATCATAGGACATACTTGTATGTGACGTACATGTTTGCTCACGGACTTATCACAGAGAATAGTTCTGGAGCCTCGCCAATGCATTTGTGGGACCCGTGCAAGACAGGCGAGGTGAGGTAAAATGGGGTTTAACTAGCCTGGACTAATGCCGGTTTTATAGCGCTAGCCCTCTGAGATACCATGTTGCAGTTTAACATAGATACCCATCTCAGATACATTATACTGACTCTTAGCAGATCAGTGCTTGTTTCATTGCCTTAATGATGAGCGCCATCTAGGGTAACAATCTGTACCATTGTTTAACGCCTTTGGTGATACAAGAGATGGAACTGTACAATACGACACCTCCTCATCTTTAGCATAACATTATGATGCGTCCAAGGTACTGAAACTGTTTTAATGTCATTAACTATCACTATAGAATGCATTTGATGTTTCCAAAGGGTCGCCTAGTCCAATTTGCAGAGAATATTTCATTCTACTTTATAGATGTTTACATCTTTAAGGCGCAGCATTAGACAAATACGAATAATATGTGTGATCATACATTTGAAATGAATACACATGCAGTACGTATTGAAAGGTTGTAATTAGGAATTTACTCTAAGTAGAAAGTATTAATCATTTCCAAACTAAACTGTATTACACTTACTGTGAACCGTTTCATAATTAAAAATGAAACAGACATAAACTAGTATTGATTCCTTTCCGAGTGTAATCATTCTATGTTGAAGTCAAAGCAAGCTGACACGTTGCAGTCTGGCCTACATGTATGTGTGGTAACAGCTCTCTCGAGCGCAGTTAACCAGATGGAGCATTGTTCATGCTAAGCATGCATAGGGGACCAAAATAAATTTTATGCTTGTGTTTTCTAACTGTTGGTTTATGTTCATAGCTATCATGGCATTCGAGCCTCATGGGCTGTTTTGAACTGTAAGTAAGTCCATTGTTTTTGTGAAACTGTCTGTTTGGCAATTATAATATATACTCTGCAAACAAAGAAACGCACAAGTGATCTTAGATGAGTCTTTTTGTATATTTCATATATCATATAAATAATCAACAGATGGTAATCGATTGTTTAAAGTTTGCACTCATCAAACTCATTGACCCAGGTCCCACATGGCACACATGGAACAGTAGATTTTCAAGGTGATGGTCATCTGTGCTTAATATATCTTGAATGACCACCCTTTGAGTCCAAAACTGACTGGCATCGTCGTCCCATGGAAGCAATCTGATCCCGAATTGTGGCCTGGGGAATGTTCACCCACTCTTTCTGCAGTGCTTGTGCCAACTGTCGGAGGCTCTGTGGTTGTTCCTGACGTGCACGCAGTCGTTGATCCAGTGCCTCCCATAACTGTTCGATTTGGTTTCAATCTGGAGACCTGGATGGCCATGGCAGGACCTGGTTGTTGTGATTCCGGTAGGTCGGGCGTTTTCTTGTTGGAAAATGGCGTTCGCTTGTTGCATAATGGGAAGGACGGCTAATATTATCCGTGTAACGATGTGCCGTTAAATTCCCTTGAACTACCAGTGAAGGAGATACGAGGTTTGGCTGAAAAGTTCTAAGCCTAACTGTGAAAGACCCGTGCCAAGTCGATGGTTTTCATTTATTTCTCCACATAGTGCCCTTCCAGGTTTACAGACTTTTGCCAGCGATGCTGCAAGGCCTGGATGCCGGTCAAGAAGAATTTTTCTTCAGCCACCCTTAAAAAGTCATTCACAGTGGAAATGACGTCATGATTAACA